GGTCCAGGAGGTCTACACCAAGATGGATAGAAACAATGACTGTGATGAAAGAGAAGAGTGACCTGTGGTCATACTTTGTAATGAAAGTAGGTACTCAGAGTGCTACATTCCAGATCTCCTGAAAATTAGAGAGAAATAATTTAAGAATACTGTAAAAGAGCGAGAATTGCAATAACTGAGGCACAAAATGATTGAAGAAAGGCACAGCAGGGTCAAGGTACGAATGAATTCTGTTAATATGGTGTAGGTTGTCACAGGCAGATGCATAATTAAGTGAGAGTAAGAAAAAGTATGTCAAGAACACTGCTACTTCTGGTACTTAAGCACATGCTTAACTTTAAGTTAATGGGGTTAAGGTATACGCTGAAGTGTTGAGCAGTAGCAGAGCCTAAGCGATAATGGAATCAGACTCACAGGAGAAGGAATGCTTTTAACTAAGCTTTTGTAGCGTTTGTGGCTTGGCAGAAGAAATGGTTTACCCACACAATAAGAAAGCTGGTAAAGGCAGGAAGATGATAAAAATATCAGAAAATAAGTCAAGAAAGTGTAGGGTCTAATTTGTAAGCAATAACCACAGTTCAGCCTAGAATCAAGATGTTCCAAAGGGAGGAAGTAGAAGGTCACAGATAAAGGACACAGCAGAGCGGAAAAGATATTTGATATGATGCATTAGGTAAAAATACAGAGCCACTGAAAGGTGACTCAATTATGGTGGAGAAGCATATTCACATAAGGAAAATAATTGAGAGTGGTTGGGCTTATCAAACAGTGTATTTTAGTCAAGCACCAGATAGTTGGCTCCATAGGGGAGTGAAATTTAATTTGCTATATACAGAAGGACACAGTAGATGATCTAAGGGGCCTTTTTTAGCTTTAAAATTTGTGAATCCATCAAAAAGTATTAGGTACCAAAGGTCTCCTTAATCTAGCAGAGAAAGACATAACAAGAAGTAATATCTGGAAGTCAAAGCCAGACAGTCAAATTATGGAAGGCAGTTTTTTAGCAGCAAGGGTGATGAAACGTATGGAAAAAAAACTACCAAGGGAAGTGGTGGATTTTTTTTTTTTTAATCAGTTGCCCTTTTTGGATCAAAACTAGAAAATATGTTTTAGTCAAGCACACTGCAGGGTTAACTGGGTACATTTGTATAGCTTATGATATACAGGAGATGAGGCGAAGGAAATGGACAGACATAAGAGGTCTATCTGTAGTAACTGAACTGGTATAATGAGCTATGCTATCTCCTCCTGTACTGGTGTAAGAGCAGCTAGACAGTTGCAACTTTAAATCTGTTTTATTCAGGATTAACTTGCAGTAGTTTCGATGACATATCCTGGTATAGGAGCGGGCAAACAGAACAGTGATGCATGCTTCCAAGTGGCAAGTTTCACTTCCCCTTTTAAAATGGCTTAAAATCTACATTCTTCCACAGCAGAACTGATCTAAGCTTCCCTTTAAAATCTGTGCCTGCATTTCCGAATCTTGGAAAGCCTAGAGCAGTCAGAGTCAACTGCGTAGGAGGGATGACTGGCAGCACTTTCTTCCTCTTCCAGCAGAGTGATTGATATTATTTAAATATCCATTGAGGTTAAACAAGAGGAAAAGACAGAGGTTGTTACTGTTTGTTTGTTTTAATCGGAAGCCAAGCATAAGGCAGTTAAGCGCTCTGACTCGGGCAAGCCCGTTTCTATGGCAAGCCAACCTCAGTCATTGAGGGAGGCAGTACAGGGCCAGAAAATAAAAATACTTTCCCCACAACTTTGCTCAAGACAAGGAAGTCTGAAGTTAATTAATGATGCGAGGCGAGGATTTTCCTCATTGGGATCTTCAGGCTGTGAACTTGGAAGTGATGCGCTGACGTTGGTAACAGGTATGTATCCTTTGTCTTCCATGAGAGACAGGAACTAGCTCATTAAAAGAAGATTAAAAAAATAAAATCCAGGTGTTTTGAGGGAGTGAATTTACAAATTTGAGGAAAAGCTAAATTAGGAACATAAGAAGAACACAGGAACGAAAGCTGGGAGTAATACTACTCCATCTTAAAGCTTTTTATTTTTTATTTTTTTTAAGGACCCTTCTACTTATTTGCAGTCAAAACATACTCAATTACCAGTTTATCCCTGTTGACTATGTTAACACTGCCATTAGCCTAAATAAGTATCTCCCTTCTTAGCCTTTACCCATGCCATATTTGGAGTCGGTGAGCAAATCTCCTCTCAGCCTTTTTTTTTTTTTTCCCGCTAGCTTACATAAGCCAAGCTCTTTTAATCTCCCCTTTTAAGATAAATCTCTCCAGTGCCCCGATCATCCTATTAGTTCTTTTCCATACTTCTTCCTGTTTATCTTTCTTGAACCAGAATTGGACATGGGATTCCAGGTAAAGCTGACCAGTATAAAAACACCCTCATCGTTTTTAAACTCTCTATTGCAGTGACTCTCAACAAGGCTATGACACCCTGGTGTGCCTTGAGATCCTTTTACGGGTGACGTGCAAGACAAACATCTACATGATTTACAAGATAAACCCAGGGATTTCAGGGAGGACTCTCTAGTGTCAACGACATTCTGGCTTGTGGTGGTCGTTCCCAGTCCTTTGCAACAAAAGACTTCTCTATTATGTTTCAAAAAATGAGTGAAAGCCAAGAGCCAGCTTTTTCCGAGGGCTTCTTGTGTCTAGAAAGGGTGAGAAGCTCTGCTCTGCTGGAAATACTGCTTCTCACACACTCTGCTTTAAACTTGCCTTCATCACCTTGGCCGCTCATAATTACCTCGTGATCCATTACTACACTGAGCTCCTCCTCCTGGGTTGTTTCTCTCAAATTGTCTTTGGTTCCCAAGTGCACGACCTTGCATTTTGCCACTGAATTTCATCTCAGTACTACTATTCTAGTCCTTAGGATCATCTGATAATTTTTTTCTATGGTACCACAAATCCTTATCTGTATTGACAACTGCTCCCCACTTTGCCATATCACCAAGCTTCCCATTTGGGCAAAGGTTGCCGATGAAAAGATTAAACAAAACCTGTTCCCAGGGCCAATTCTTGAGGGACTACACTAACAAGATCCTTATAGTCATCTGATGCTTTCCTTTCCAACATTACCCATTGCCCTCTAGCAAGTTCCTTTTCCACCTTGCAAGTCATTTACTAACTGCCATATTCTCTAGCAGCAGCAATGATTTCCCATGTGGAGCTTTTAAACATTTCACTGAAATCCAGATAGACGAGATAAACCATACTACCTTTAAGTACAAAATCAAGTCTCCTATCAATGATCTGTATCAGGTTAACCTGTTACAACCTACCTTTGGTAAACCCATATGGCATGTTCTCTCGTTTTCCATTTACCTTCATGCCCAATTATTTTTCCTTTCAAAATATTTTCTAAAGGCTTGTATGCTGTTGCGGTCAAGCTAACAGGCCTGTAGTTTCCTGGGTCCCCTTTTTTCCCCGCTTCTTAAATGCAGGTGCTACATGGACTATTCTCTTATCAGCTATGACTTGACAGATTTATTAAAAATACCAGGTCAACAAATATCTGTATCAAAGGAGCAAACGTTTAATATGAAAGCCTTGCTTACTGCATGCATCAGTGGAATGATTTCGGTTCCAAACCTGAAAACACTTTTGCACAAACCCAAGTTAAAACACGTGAGTGACTAGTCCGAACAAAATCAATCCGACAACATGAATGCTTGATGTTAAATGTGCATATCTGCGGCGCTACAGCCTTAATCTTTCTCTTTTGAGAACTGTTTGCTGTAGATATTGTTCCTTTCATTTCCTTTTTCGTTTATCCATTTATTGACTTACTGGAAACAAAAGGCTTTGCTGAGCTAAGCTGTATCAAAATACATGTCCACTGGGGGATATGACCCAAGGCCATTGCACTGGATGGGCCTGTGATTTCCTCACCTAAAAAGTTAAATGTTTGTTTTACCTGCATGTAAAAAAAATAAGAAACCATGTTCAGTTTTACAAAGATTCCTCCTCAGCATGAATGGCCACTGGAATCTGGGATCTAAATCCTACCCATATCTCACAAGTCCTTGTGGAGTTACCTGCAAGCTCCTATCCATGAAGCTAACACAAATGGCCTTTGTTGCAACATGGACCATGGACTCTTGTTGCTGTATTTTTTGTGAGGGGATGAGAATGAGCTTGTATTACCACAAAAGCTTTCTGGTTGATATCTGGTTCTATTGAATTAAACAAAAATTACATCGGGTGCCTGTACACAATCATGGAGGCTGCTCTGACGTGCTGCAATTACAGCGCATCAAAGCACACTCGATTAATTGAGTCTGCTGGAACATGGCAATTACCGTGCACCAGCAGCCTCCTGCACCTCTTGCATCAGCATCCCCGCGCTTCAAAATGGTGGCAGGGGTGCTGGAACTAAAGCTTGGTTAATTAGAGCAGCTCTGGGAGGAGTCTAATTAAAGTGCCACCCCCAGAGCATGCATAAAAGTTCTCATTGACTTCACCAGGGCCAGATTTTTACTACTTCCAGACTACTGATTTTCTCTAAGGCAGCGATTCACAACTGATTGGTTGTGGAGGTGCCATAAGTGGGCCAAAAAGGCAGCTATGTGGTTGGAAAGGCCAATCACTCCAAACATTTGTCTCCTCCAGCTGCTAAAACAAAACAAAAAAATACCTGACAACAAAATCAAAGAACAAACCTTAGAACGATTGAGGGAATGTGCACCGGGCATTAACTACCATTTGGTCCAACCACCAGTCCAGCATCATAAAGGAACATAAAACAATAGACACTGCGTATGCAGGACTTCCACAAAAGAAGTTTATTATTATTCTTTTGTTATTCTTGTGCCCCCCTATACTCTCTGCAACAGCAGCATAAATATTGTTACCATAATATAGCTGATGATGCTGGTGCACACACGAGAAAGTAAATCAAAAGCCATTTTAATTTCAAACTCCATTAGAAACACAGGGAAAAGATCAACATTTATGAAATGGAAAGGAAAAAAATGGTATGGAAAGAATTTTTATTGTTCAAGCTTCCAAGAGGGTATTACAAACAATGGAGAGCAAAGTAAAGCTAGAAATGAAATACTTGACAGCATCTTTTTAAAAATTACAGCTAAGAAACCTAATAAAAGTTGAATAAACAGTTACTAGAAATAAAAATTTTACACATATGATCTTTGTCTGCGATTTTTATTTCTTTAAAATAATTCATACAAATGGTTACAGTCACAAACATGATTTTAACCAAAAATATTGCTAGCCTACCACATTACCAGGAAGGAATCAATGTAGGCAATGAAATGCTGCTACTTTTCAGTAGTCTAGTGCCTTTTTCGCATACCACCAATAATATATACTTTAACTGGTGACAAAAAGCACAATGCTCGTTTATACAAAACCTTTATTTTCCTCAAAATCTCTTTGCAATGTTGTCTTCATTTTGAAATAAGGGAATTCATGCCAAAATTAGGAGAAACGGTTTCTCTTTTGTTTACTAAATTAGTCTAAAAAATAAGACAAGCAGGTAGAAAAAACAATGCACTGTGTGGTGTAGAAAGAAAAATGGGAAAAATTCATTGTCCTGAGAAGTTTGCCAACTGCCTCATTTTTGGGCATGTTTTAACATATAAAAGAAAGGATTTTTAATCTCAAAATTGGTTTGTTGAATGCCTCCCTTATGGTTTTTTTTCTTGTTGACAGCTAAGCAAACAAACCCTTTTTAATGTTCTAAAAACTGTACACAGACAAGTACATTCATGATATAATTAACTACTAACTTTTCTTGCTTTAACAAAGAACCCATAGGACACAGAAACAGTGAATCAGTCCACTGGACAGGGACAAACTACAATTTATACGGAGGAAAAAAAGTTTCCAAATCTTCGTTTTTGACTCCCACCTTTTCCTTTTATACTGTATATTGGACCAGTTTCTAAAACAATAATCGTCTCCTCCTGTAAGTTCATGGTTTTTTGCCTTTATTCAAAATCCAGATTTTTTCCACACGCTCTCTCTGAAGTTGAAATCTCCAATGCTGGGAATGCTGTTTTCTTAGGCTACAATTGGTCACTTGGGTGGTCTCTATCAGCTTCTGGTTTGACTGTTTGGCCGGGGGAAGGAGCATGGGGCGGGTGAGCAACAGCAGGGAGGCCGTGTGATAAAGACATGGGGTTGGGGACTATTCCTTCTACTGCGGTAGGTATGCCAGTGGGAGCCACGCTTACAACACCAGGAGGATACCTGCTAAGAGAGGAAAGCGAGAACATTCATTAAAACCAGAGATGGCTGATAGGAAAGTCCACCCGGTCTCCTGCAAAGAGAATTGCAAAGGTTTTTGTTGCGTTTGCAGAACCAGAGGTGTCTGTAAGTCTCAAGATGACACCGACCATGCAATAATGCAATTGCTGCTGTATTTAACCAGGGATTTGCTAATTCCTTCAGATGCCAGATTTGTTAGTTCCCCTGGCAGCCTAAATGACAATGAACAACAGAAACGTAAACTGAAAGTAATTTCTATCTCTGAAGTTAAAATCTGAATTAACTAATTCGCTCATGACTTTACTGGGAGTCTAAATCCTTCGTTTCCTGCCACATGACTTTCCAGAATTTCCCCTTTTAGGCCAACACTAACTAAATGATTTTTGTTTCTCGTGTACTTCTGAAATCACGAGTTGGGCCCCCAACAGATGTTAAAGTGTAGGCACAATGGGATCTGATGCAGGATCTCAACAATTACACTTCCTGCCATGCCACATATGCATGGGGGGAGGTGTGACTGGGATCCTGCAGCAGATCCCATTGTGCCGTATTGCCGGTGCAAGGGGAGCCTGATCCTGGGCTCCCAACCAGGAGGGTGCATGGTCCTCGGCGGTGGAGCAGCATTCCACGTGCATGATGCAGTTCTGCACCTGACAGCCCTGTCGGCCGATCGGTGCTCCCCCCCGGGGAAGCGTGTGGTTCACTTCCCCAGCTGGAAACCCTGATCAGCTGAGCAGGGTGTCCAGCCACGAGAGCACATGGTGCGCCCCCTGTCTGACAGACCCAATCAGCTGAGGGGCCTCCAGCCTTCAGCACAAACGGGAGTCTTGAAAGGCTGCAGTGCAATACAGAGGCTGGCTGCTGGCCACATGTGCAATTAAAAGGTGTGGTAAGAACTAGCACAAAGTTATTACACATAACTTGTTTGGTAACTTCGTGGCTCGTTCCTTGATTCATCACTCCATTAACTGATTGAACATTAACCAGATAATCTAGTCTTAAATGTAATGTCTATCAAGGGCCTTGGTTTTAAGACAGTGCAAATCTGAAAAAAATTACATCTCCAAAAGCAAACATTTTTCAAAAGCATTGACAGCTCAGGGTGCAGCTGTAGCACTGCATATTTTAGTCTAAAACTGGAAAAAATCAGACCCATACATTTGTTGCACTTCAACCTTGCCACAGTTCTTGCTTTTAAAAAGGCAGGTGGCCTGTGGCAAACTGGAAGGAACAAGAGGAGGAGGAGGAACACAAATACAGAATTATGCAGTCCTTCATTTTAGTTACTCTTTTTTTCCATCAAGCATCCAAGTCTAAGGTTTTGGGGGTTCAGAAGAGAATAACTGCTTCAAGCTGGTTTCACAGTGGCTGGGATGCTAAAGGTAAAGAAAACAGGAAAATCTCCAGCTCGCAATTTCTGCATTCTGAAGGCGTTACTTAATTAGCACTTGCTACATTTAAACAACAACTGCATGTTTTATCCTCTTTTGTATTTCTAAAATGTTTCTATCTTCAGCCAGGTACCTACAGTTCACCTTCAGGGTTATCTAATTCTAGCCACTTATTTCATCCTTTGTCTCACTCTCCCACTCCCTCAAAAACATGCACTTATTTCTTCTTTCTTTAAACTGGTGTTCTGTTTATCCAAGAGTTTTAAAAAAGTGTTTCTTCTTTTTAAAAGTATAAACATTTAGGGCTGTTATTTACTCACTGTGGCATTTGATACCCTATTATTCATTTAGGCTTAAATGGCAGCAATTGCAATTGCAGCCTATTGAAACTTTTTGAACCAGCATCCAAAACTCTGTCGTTGATGGCCAAGTCGTTAGAGAATTCCAAACTGAATGCCACGGGCATTTCACCACACTCCAGTTAGCTTTTCTGAAACTTTTGTGTTGCTTCCCCCTCTAAACCTGCCTAAGTGCAGAGAATGTCAGGGTGGAAAAAATCTCCAGCATCCAGAAAACTTGTAGAGGAAAAAAAAGATTACATGAAAACAGCTTTTCTCCTTCCATAACCTGAAACCCATGGAAGCTCTCCATCACAAGCATGATGCAATGGGAACCTGGCCTGGCTTTCCGGTATCGAATGGCAGACCAGGGAATTTGATGTTACCCTGGTCACCCCGAGGGGTTGGACAGTTGTACCTTGAGGAGAACTGCACTATCTGTAGGCTGTGACATTCATCCCCCCCCACCCCCCTAAACATACACACACCAGGTGCCTCCAAAGAAACTTTACAAGTATCAATTTACAAAATTTCCTGTGTAAACTGCTCGTCTGGAGAGTTTTTCTGGAATTACTTTGCAATTGCTAATGAAATTAGTTGCGAGTTTCAGTAGTAAAAATTGATTCTTATTAACCAAATTGGCTTCAATTCCTGTGAACGTGACAGGGTATTGTTTTGTTTATTCAAATTTGATTTTGAAACTGGTTTATCCATTCCTGTAGGTATTCTGCACAATATTTCAAGCAAACACCATGAAGGCAAAAATCCTCAGTTTAAAAGACCTGGTATAGCGTCGGAAAAGACGCAGCATAGCAGCCTCTTCCGAGAGAAAGAATTCACAGCTTCCAACCATCACCTCCATCAATCTGCTCCTGGAAACACCTGGGCCCAGCAGTGTGACCTGTGTGTCAATACATTTATGCTTGATGAATCAGGGCAAAAATAAATCACAGGGTTCCTCCCAGAGAGAATGTCCTGGCAGGCAGCCTTTCCCTTTTAACCCAGATACGCTGTAAGGGAGAAGCATCTGCGGATCACAGTCATGTTCTGACCGCGCAGGAAAGTCAACTTGCGTAGACAAAACCCGTATCGCTTCAAGAAAGTTATTCCTTTCAGCGTTGGCCCAGGAACCCCTAATCATTCTAGAGTTGTGATAATAATCTTGACCTGCAGATCCATCGCCTGTTCACCCCAAATATTTCCCATTAATCTAAAATGGCATCCAAGCATCATACAATTATGGTGTGTCCTGAAATCAAATAATGCGTTGTGTGAGCCAAAATCTCAATGTCATGCCTCATTACTGGGGTGGTAGTTTCCTCACTAAAAGCATCCCTAACTTCCACTGCATTTTGCCATACAGTTATGGTAAACTCCATCTCCAGTTACTTCAGTATCGTATTTTCCCTGCTACTGCCGTATCAGTGTTTTTCTAATCTCATAAGTAACCTTATCTTTGAAACCAGGCAATGTAAATTCAGCAGCTTTTATACACTCCCAAGCACTGGCAGCCTCCCATTGCTTTGCTGTTTTGCATTCCCATATACTGTTAATCAGCTGATGCTCCATCCTTCAAAATGCCAGGCCCTCTTCCAGTCCTCCTTTGCCAGAAGCAATAATCCAAACAACTACCCAGATAATGTCTGTGTCATAAACTAACCTATCTGCTCAAGCTGAATCTGAGATACAGTTTTTATCTTATATTTCCCATTCTGCTCTCCCTCATATAGCCCTACTGTACAAAAGATGCTCCCAGTGCAGAGGCCAGAATAAGACAACTGTTAAACAAGTTTTAGTGTAATCTTCTCCATCATCAGGATCTATATTGCAATACCACCTAGTCCCAGTGCCACTGTGATAGGTGCTGCACAAATATAACACACACACACACACACACACACACACACACACACACACCCCCGTCTCTGTCCCAAAGGCTTATAATTTAAGTATATGCTATTTTCTTGGATTGCAGATAGATAAATCAATAATGGAAGATCTCAGCACACTACTCTCTAATTGATTCCAGAATACATTACATTAATAATATTTAAATGTGCATGTGCTGTTCACCATCGGCATCTGGTAGAAGGCAAAAAGACACTGCTGTCCCTGTAAACTGCCCAATATTTGTGTCTGGTTTCCATGACTATGTACGTGGCTATATCCCATTCTCTGACAAAGAAAGCAGTAGTATACTATCTAGTAAGAAGTCCGATAATGAATACACAACAATAACACACAAGTAATAGATGCTGCTTCTGCTTTACCTCCAGACTATTACAAATAAGTTCTTTCTCAGGATCACCATTAATCTTTACCCCCGGAAGAGGTCCTGTTTGTTTGACCTCTTTAACAGACTGGCTGTCCTTGTTTAGCAAACAGTTTTCTTTTCTGCAGGATTTCTTCATTTTCAAAAGCCATTTGATCTGGGTTATGTTCAGCTGGTGATTGCTGAATGTTCTTCGCTGCCTCTTATTACAACACACTTGATTCACTTAAGAGTTCAGTCCCTTATCACAACTCAAATAATGATATATCCAGGATTAAATATTCTCGTTAGTTTTAATACCCCAAAAGATCTATTTACATTTTTGACGTACAAATGATCATCCCAGTTCCTATCTTCTGATACAATTACATGAAGATAATGTGGCTATTAGCACATCTGAAACATCATGCTTCTAGTGAAAGGCTTAACTCAACAGGCAGAATGATAATCTCATTTTGGGAAAAGAAGATAAGACAGAAATATTTGTTTCAAACAATCAATTCAACTTCTGGGTTGAAGGCACAATGGAATTTAACACTAGCAAGTATGGTTATTGAAATTCATTCTTTCATAAAAACCCAGCTTCAAATTTATATATTCTGTATCACCAGAACCACTACAGCAATTGCTCCCAGGGGCCTTTCTTTAAAAAAAAAAGATTGTTCATTGGTTTGTAAAGACACAATTTATCAAGTTATTTCAGAATCCCTCTGCCAAATTAAGGACTCACAGGGTACTTTATGCTCATTAATCATCAAGTAGTATTGCCCTCACTACTAAATTTAACACAGCTTAACTAAACACAAAACATTTTCTATGTAAGGAATCGTTCTAAATTTTCCTTTGAAACTAGGAAGTGCAGTTGTAAAAGTTTTACGGTTTTACTGGCGTTTTTTTAATGAATGTAAGCATGTCTCATTTTCCTATTCCCAATAGCATTTTTTATATTTAAAAAAGTGTTTTGACTAAAGCAAACCATAAAAAGGGTGTTTTGTGCTCTGTGCTTATATGGCTCCACATCAATATACAATAAAGCCCATATCCTATAAAATCTTAATCACGTGCTTTACCATGTGCTTCGTAATCCCAACTGAAGCCAAAAGAACTACTCACTGGGTGCATTTACGCATGCTTTTTACTGTGCAGTTGACTAAATAGCTCTGCAGTAAAGCGTCACAGTCTACACTTGCGCTGGAGTAAGTACCGTCAGGGACAGTATTATCTTATGGCAGAATAATTAAGTGTAGCAAAATGCCTGTGTAGATGGTGACAGGGGCTGGCTGGGGCATAAAGGTGCTAAAGTGCAGGGGCTGCCTGCCCCCTAGCCACACAACTGCAGTTTTGGCACTCTTGTGCCCCGGACAGCCCCTCCACTGTCTGGCGCTGCCCCCCACAGCCAAGAGCTGACCTGCTGAGCCTGTTGCCAACCCAGGGCTGCTCCACCCGGCTCAAACTGCTCCTGTCCCAGACACGCATGGAGACACTGCACCCAGGAGCAGTTGACTCTGGCACAAACTGCTCTGGAGTTTATCATGTCACATTAATTGAATGTGTAGATACACTCACAGTGAGTACAGTTATATCTGCACTTAACTTGTCAGTGAAGCCAATAAAAATATCCTTACTCTCTGGAAACAGAGAAAGAAAACAAGGAACCCAACTGAAGAAGATAGGAAGATGAAGAACAAAGTGAAGGACTGAAGGAGGAATTGTGGCAGTTTTGAACCATCTCCTCTCTCGAGATGTTGCCTTTCATTGCTGGTTTGTTGCGCTCTCAGTCATTTTAACCCAACTTATAGTGTAAAATTGGAACTGGGAGCTCAACAACTGGAGAATTCCTATTTTCATTAAAAATTCAAGTCATCTGATGTTGGTTCCTAAACCTGAATAGCTACTCTTTGGACATTTGGAATGAAGGGAAACAGCAAAAAAAGATCTAGGAGATAAAATAACTAATAAAGAAATAAATATAATCAAAAGAATGGTTAAAGATCAGGTATAGACAGATTTAACTATTTTAGCAGCATCAAATTATACCAGTTAAGCTGTTGCAATAAAATGGTTACAACCCTCTGCTCTTATAATGATACAAGAGGAGCAAAACTGCTTTAACTTGGTCGGTTTCATTTAAAATGCAGATCAAAAAGATTTAGCTCCTTCTACTACTGACCCTTATGGACGTAATAGTTATATTGTAACAACGGAAACGGACCAGCACTCTTATGTGACAACTCCTCGCCCCCTTTTAAAATGGTGGAAATTTATGCCTGTTATAAACTTCACCCTACTTCCTTTTATTAAGTACTACGAACTGCTTTTCACAGTGGAAGGCTATACTGAACAATTCTAACAAGAACTTTTTAAGGAATTCTATGAAAAGAAAAGAAAAAAGAATAAATGTACACTTACGACAGTATTTGCTCCCAATATATTTATAACAGCAATAAGCAACTGCAACTTGTGCATTAGTGAGCTATTTGTATTTTCCTTAGATGGCTGAGTTCAAGAGGGATGCTAGCAATAGCTTATTATTCCAACTCTGCTGTGACTTACTGCCACATTATTACTTTCAGCAAAATGAGCATTAGCTTTTACTGAAGTCACTGGAGGCTACCAGGATTGTTCCATTTGCATACACAATATGCATTGTTTCTGATGCCGGCATTATTAACTTCAGAAGAAAAGTAGATAAATGGATTTATCACAGGGCTGATTTCAGCCAATCACGAAACAGAATTATTTTCATGAATGTAATAGTCATAAGAACAACCTACTCAGGCCTAATCTGAAAACATTTTCATAACAATTTAATTCATTAAATGGGAACTTTTTTCTTTAAACTGGAATATTTTGCTCTAATTCTTTTCCTACTGAAAGATGCTTACCTGTACGCAGCACCATTAAGCTCTGGATGAACAACTCCTGGATCCATGCTGGCCCAATGTGTAGCTGCAGTCAAATGATCTTTGTTAACACAGTTTTTCAGGCTGTCTGGAATACGACCTAGGTGAGAAATAAAGCATGAAATAAAACCTGGATCTGTCAGGTATGACAAAGAATAAAATATATTAGACAGTAAACCTAGCAATTCACAAACAAAAACTGGGGCTCAGATCAGAGACTTATTGTTCCCTTTGCCATGGCTCTGTCACCACTTCTTGAACTCTGAGTTGTGTTCAGTTACTCTCTCCTTTCCTCTCCTCTGTTCAGCCTCTTGATAAATCTCGTCTCTGTTTTACACGCATCATCTTGAAATTCACACTTTCCAAATTGCTAAAATCAGTTTCCATACACTGGTTGCTCATCAGCTTACATATTAGAGTATTGGTCTCTCCATTTCTAAGCTTTCCTTTCCGACCTCGCCTCCCAGTAACCACTTTTGAGAATCTGGGATGAAATCAAGAACCTTTTGAAGTCAATGGGAGTTCTGCTCATAGCTGTTTTATTCACTCATCGTTACTCCTCCTTAATGAGACACAGAATATTTGCATCTCTTAGTCCTCATTTAGCTCTTTCCATCCTAAGGAAAATTTAAACATGTCCAAGGACTCCTTTCCATAAGCATTTTTGCCTAAACAGTGGTTTGCCTAAACCTTTTCAGATGCAAGCCGCCCTTCATCATTAGACTCAAGGCATCACTGATTAGACTCGAGGCATCCCTCAGAACATGTCAGCTCTTAGTTTTCACTTGTTTCCACAGCACCTTTGAGAGGATCTCAAGGCACCCAGGTTGACAATTACTAGCCTAGATTTCATGCAGCCTTCAAGTTACAACTATTCTTCAGCTTTTAGGGCCCCATGCAATGCTCTCTGAAGACAATGTATATATCTTATTTAATTAGTCTATAAAGATTCATATCTACCTTGCTTTCTGAATGGAAAGATTGTCATCTGATTTGAAAGGAGTGCTGGGCCAGTTCTTCATCATCAGTGTTTGGGATGGTCTTGACTAGAGGTGTGCGAAATGGGCCGTACTTAATTTGGATTCAGCCCGAATCAGGGAGAGTGATTTGATTAGTTGATTCGGATCGCTGTCCTGATTCAATTTGGCTGAATCCAAATCTGAAGATTCGATGCTGATTTGGAGAACAAGTGATTCAGCCATAGACACAGTTTTAAACATTTTTTCTACATACCCCAAGGTGCCAGGCATGGCTCATGAACTCTGCCATGGTGGGGCAGATGGAGCATCCCACAGGAGCACGGGGGGGCCCCTGCATGCTCAGAAGTACTTCTGGTCCACTTCCAGGTCTGCCGCTGAGTGCATGGGGGGCCCTCCCGCACCTCCCCCAGCTCAATGATCAGCTGCAGGGGGACCCTGGGTGCCCCCCAGACCTAGGAGGCACCAGTCACCGAGCCAGGGGGATGGGGGGGCGGGGGGCACACGCTCTCCAGCAGACCCAGAAGTGGACTGGAAGTGCTTCTGGTCCACTTCCAGGTCTGCTGCTGAGTGCACTGGGGACCCCCCCACCCCGTGCTCCTGTGGGACGCTCCATGTGCCCCACCATCTCAGCATTCAGGAGCCACCTGGTACTTTGAGGTATGTGGACAAAACATATAAAGCTGTGTCTCTATGTCTGAATTGTCAAATCTTTCTGAAACTCTCCGAATTGATTTGGAGAGTTCCGATTCGGTTTAGAGAGAATAAAGGGTCTCCTGATTAGATTCAGATTCAGAGATTCGGCCACTGAACTGGGCCAAATCTCCGCCAAATCAAATCAGCAACTGAAGCTTTGCACAGCTCTAGCCTTGACTGCTTTCCATACAACTGTCCCATCCTCTATAACAGTGGTTCTGCCAGCCTGCAAGGGAAAAGCCACGGTTTCCCACATTTTTCTCCTTTAAAGGAGAATCAATTTTTAAAGTTTACTGATTCATTTTTAAAGTCTGTTCGTGACCCTTTCATATATTCTTGCAACCCACTTTTGGGTCACGACCCTCAGGTTGAGAAATGCTGCTCAGTAAAATACATGGGTGCGAGTAGCTCCCACTGAAGTAATTGGTTCCCATTTCTCTGACTGAGTCTGCACGAGAGCCTTATTCCTTTGATGATTAGAAACCATCTTTTAATTTCCAACCGAAATTTATTCCTGGCCAGTTTATACCCTTTTGTCCGTGTGCCTACTTCGTTTAGCGTGTTTTCCCTGCTACGTGTTTACTTCCTGCTGTATTTTTAGAGAACAATCTATTCCTACCCATTCTTAGTCTTTGTTTTGCTGGGCTGCTCCAAGCTCCTTGAATTTCCTTTCAAAAGTTAGTACCTGACGAAACGTGTTTATTTTCTACTTATTCTGCAATGTGTTCACTTGTCGCTCTTATGTTTCTTGCCTTCTCAAATTCACCTCTGTGTAATGTTTGGTGTATTTCTTTATCATTGCTTATTACTTTGCACATTGTAGATAAGCACAGCCACACTAACCCTCCCCCTTCCCTTTCTAAACAATATGTTCTTCACATGGCATGCATGTTGTTGAGGCATGCGGTTACCTGTTGTCCATCTTCTTCTAATTATAACCCCACTCTGTTCCCCCTGTGACTTTTGCATATTAAGTTTCATCCCACACTTCCTGTATCTGTCCTACATTTGTTTCATTAAAGTTCAACGTCTTTCTCACCTCCCTAACGTTGGCCTCGATTTAGTCTTACTACGAACCACGTGCAGAAGCTTGAAGAGATGACAGCTTCAGGATAAAGCAACGATTCCTTACTTGGATATTCCAGTTGCCTACTTTAGAGAAATGAGTCATTCTGTCTCAGGTAGATTTGTGTGCAGAACCCTTAGCACTACACCGCCTGTTCCTCTGTATTGCTGATTTCTATTGCATCCCATCCTGAAAAAGATTCCCTCTAGTCAGGCTGCCCCACTGATCAGCCAGTCGAAAGAGCAATGTTGTGGTCTGCACATCCGTCCCAGAGATAAAGCCTGTAACTGTTCTGAACAAATCCAGTCTCCTTACCTTACAATGCTGGCCTTTGCATTTTTTCTAAGGCAGAGTAATGTGTTGCAACTGAACCACCCCACAGGTCAACTAGATGCCTATGGACTTAAGGGCACTCAGGGTGCATTACGCAGAGATAAATCACGACCATGTACTAAGGATCTGGCATTAGTGCTTAGTGACTCATTTTATGCAGACTGCTACCTTTTATTTTCAGCTACACAGGACACAAACTAAAGCCCACGCTTTGCCTCATTTTATTTATTAGCATTTCATACTGCGGGCTTGACAGATTTTTTTTTTCATAACAGAGAGAGAGGGAAAGAGAGAGACTTCACCCTTTAAAATTTCAGACAACTTTAGCAGCGCTTTAAAAATAAAAGCATCTTCTAAAATATTGTGCCTCCCACCAACTGCTGAATGACTTGGTTTGGCTTAACAAAAAAACCCTCAACTTCACATTATCATACTGCTAGACTTAAAAAGTCTAAGACTAGTCAAATAGGTTGTTGTGATACTGCAATTATTATGAACAGCATGACACTGAGGTAGTGTTTCATCCCTATGTATTGAGCTTTCAAATACTGAAGTCCAAGATCCTTTCAGACAGACCTGAATGAATTTTGGAAGGTAGATAGAAGCCAAGGGAGACAGGAATGAAGAAGATAAAACAGATGATGGCACGTGCCAGGAGATATGTAAGAAAGGCTACAGAAAGATGGCTCCAGACCTGCATCCAAGCCTTTGGAAATGACCAGTTGATGTGATTAGCAAAGAACAAAGAGGTTTCATCATCAGTAACCACCACCACGTGTCAGAGGTTTCTGACATGTGGACATCTGGAAAAGAAGAATTTCTTCCCATCGCCTGACTTTCACTTTTGACTGCAATTAGTATGTCTGACCCAAGACAATTATCAACGGTGGATACAGCAGTGATAGATATACTTGCTGGCCTAGAGCTCTCCCCGGTTAAAGAAGAAGAGATGTCAGTACCTGTGATAGCCCTCCGGATCTCTCGTGCTGCTTCCTCCCGCATCTCGATAGAGGCTTGTTCACTGTACCAGGCTGCATGTGGGGTACAGATCAGGTTTGGTGCATCCTTCAATGGACCCTGACTAAAGCTAAATGAAATTTTAAAACAAGATCAAATGAAAACAAAACAAAACAAAAAAACCCCAAAAATCTTTGGTGGGGAGGAGGGGGAATAGAGGCAAGGAGATTTATATGTATACTGCGGACTAACATCTAAAAACACATGACAAAGTCTACAAATGTTTCCTTGGTGTTTTTCTTTTTAATTGTGACAGGTCATTTTGGTGCATTTCTAGTGGTTGAGATCTCAGTTACTTTCCCTGACTCAGAAGTGGAACAACAGAAAGCAGTACTAGTGGCAGAAGTAACTTTTGTCCAGTTTCCAATTGCCGCCACTCATATTTTGTATGGACAAATGGGTAGCGAGACCCACTGCCCACCTCGTTTCAAAATCCCATTCTATTTGCCACAGTTTATCATCAGTTTTCCTTCACTAGCCAACACAGCTTTATTTCCTTAAAGAGTCACTGTCAATGTGATATATAATCTAATTTTAAAAAGAAATTAAAATTAATTCCAGATAACACACTCGCCCATGAGTCTCCCTAATAATTTCCATGGCTTTACGATCGTATTTTCCTGCCTTTTTAAAAACTATTTTTTCTCTCCTGTTGCAGAATAAAAAACACCTAAAGATAGGGGAATATGACTAACCAACTGCTTGGGGAAAGCAATCAAAGTCTATTAAAGTGCTGTCAAAGGTACAAAGTAAACCTGAGGAAAAAAAAGTGTCATTCTTCCTCTATAGCCTTTTTTGGTTTTAATGTCAGAGTGTTCTTTGTAACAACAGGAGAGAAAATATTTTTAGATAGAAAAGTGCATTTGGAGTTGGCAGTAACTCTTAAAATGATAGCTTGCATCTCCAGTTTAATGGCTATGGATATTTGACAAAACTGTCCAGTGCAATGTTACACGCAGGCACTACAGAAGTTAGTCTCTTGGGGCTGATGTTGCCTCCTCAGGCACAGACATGGAGCTCCCACTGAAACTAAAGGGAACTTTGGCTGCAATTCTTCAAATGAATCTGTGCAAATGACATCTACTCGAGTCCCACATGGTCACTGGGATTTCTTGTGGGTGCCAGGTCTGTCTGTGAAGAGCCGACTGTAGGACAGGGAACTATGTGCATATCTGCACACGGACTTTCCCCCCTTGCATACTGTACTGCTATAATGAGTGCACTGAGAAGCTAACAAATGCAGGGTGAGAATAAAGACCTTTTGGTGGGAC